TCAAATTTCTGATTGAACCCTAAACACAAATCTTGAGAGAGCCAAATCGCTGCTGACAGTCGGTATGGCATCTTATGTTATTGCGTATTGGGATGCTTACACACAGCGATGCAGCTGCATCAAGCTCTTCCATCTCGAGCTGCATAACTTCAGAAACAAGTTTTTTATTGAAAAAACATCGCTTTTAACATTTTATTTAGGACATAGTTGCCGATGAGTGCAGTAAAGCCAACAATTTCTCGGAACCAAGATGGCAAGTGACGAAAAATCCGAAAGTCTGGAGCCGAGTATCTTACAAGTGAGATCTAATTTCAATATTTCACTTGATTCGCTTTCTCTGTAAATTACAGTTATATTATTTGAATGAATTTTTTTCTGTTTTACGCACCGATTATAGCAGTACCATGCATGACTTTTGTTGGTAGAAAGTTACATTCCAAAAACATATTTTTGTGCTCCTCAAACGAATAAAGAATAATTAGGGATAACACAGTGCGTGATACTGGACTTAGCTGCGTCAGGCTGTAGAAGCATCCCAATAATATCACTACTTGATGTGGCTCCAGTGTCTATTCGTGCATGGGGTGCGAGACCGAGCGACTGCGTTGGTGTGTGCGGGTGCATTTTGAGGGAGCCGAAGAGTGTGTCAAGCCGCACTGTCGAGACATCGTTGAGACCCAACTGATACTGATTTATTCTGACTTAAGTCTCGTTTATGTGGTATACAGAAGCCACAACTCCTCAATCGCAAATGCTGATCCGCGGGATAACGAACAAAGCCGGGATATTGTAAACGTGAAAGTCTGGCGTCGTCACAATGGACAGACGCTGCTTCTCGAGACATCGGGGGGCCAAGCGAGTGTCCAACCAGCTCGTAATATCAATAAGCCCATTAATCACCGATTCGCAAAAGCAGGTTTAGTGATGACATCCGCTTCATCACCAATTTATACTTTCATTTACCATCGGGGAGCCATCCTGTTCCTCACAGCTATGTTGGTTCCCTACAGGCAATCATGGTAGTTAATCTCCACTTTCCTGGGAATACACCTAAAGTGGAACCGTTCGCTGCGCGGGTTTATCATTATCTTATGATCTTTTATTATATTTGTGATATGCATATCTTTAGATTCTACAGTAAGAACTTTAAGTTATCACGTGCCGCACATTTTTGCTATTGACACAACCTTTTGTTTTTCTGTTTTCGCTGTTGACATTGCAGATAAAATTTTTATAGTCCATTCCACAGCATGAAATGCGATCAGAAATTAGTTTTTTCCTCTTAACTTTTTTTGGCAAAATATTTTGGAGATAAGAAACTGCTTCATTTTGTATAGAACGATTCCATACATACTAATGTTAGGAATTTTAAGATTGCCCTGCAAAACAGTATGAGGATCCGATGTCTATGATGCTGTCAGAATGCTCCCACAATTCAAGCAATAAGCAGTAACAAACTTATAACCAAAAAAATAAGCAGTATACTCGTTGACTGATCCAGTCACTCTTTTAA